AATCCAACAGCTCAGTCTATATAGCTCATTATTAAAATGCACGCAGGCAGGCGGCAGCAGGTTAAAGGAGAACTATGAGGCGAGTGATTTCCACTCACCTCATAGTTCTAGCCGACCTGTGACAATGAGACTGTCACAGGTCGGCTCATTAGATCGGGAGGTGAGCGAACACTTACCGGCGTTCGCTCACCTCTCGATCCTGTCACGGCTCTCTGCCGTGACAGGGGGAGGGGCTGGATTCCCCTCTCCCCGCTCCAATCTGCCAGCGCTGACTGGCGGAACGGACGGGGGCGGGTACAACTGGTTCTGCCTCTAGATAGGCAGAGCCAGCTGTCACTCACGCAGCTGGGCGGATCTCGACATTGATGTCGGGATCCGCTGCGGCGTCTCAGTATACCGCGAGTTGTAGCTCCCTATATACTGAGCCTAGAGTGACGGGAGGGCGCTAGTTTGTGTCCTCCCGTTACCCTAAGGAGAACTATGGGGAAAAGCCTTAACCACATAGTTCTCCTTTTTAAAGCTGAACTCCGGCTACAGAAACTGTCATTTAAATATATCTATCAATAGCCACACAGGACGCCAATCCAATTTGTCGGCACAATGTTGTGTTGAGTGGAGTTGGGAATACTTCAGTCTTGTCAGCAGCTGGTTTGGCAGTCACGGCTGCCAAGTCTGAAGTCACAAGGGGAGAGGCCTGCAGCAGGGTGCTGGTGTGCGTCAGACATTTGTGAACACAGCCAAAGACTGCATAGGCCCCTCGGGATTTACATGGTTGCACCACCTCTGAGTTGCCGTCTCAGTCCAGAAAGAACATGGTAACCCTGGATGATGCCTGGACAAAGATGGCTCCGTCCTTCTGGAGAGAAAAGCAGACCAATAAATACCTGGAAGTGTTACGCCTACGTGTTATTAAGCAGACATGCAATTGACATTAATGAATGGATCTGAAAGAAGGTCAAGGTTAAAGACGTATTAGAATATAGAACAGGAAGAGCCATCCGGCTTTATTATCGTCTTGCCATGCACAGTTCCTGCAGATAACTTCAGACTGGTTTGTCCGGCTCGCCCGGCTTTTATTCCAGTGATGTTATGTGATTCTGTGACCTCCAGACTACAGGATTGTCAGAGAATCGGAGCGTTCCGCTGCAGGGCTCAGGGTCATGGTGGTCCCAGATTGGCAGGGAGTACCCTACAGGGCTCAGGGTCATGGGTGGTCCCAGATTGGCAGGGCGTACCCCTACAGGGCTCAGGGTCATGGTGGTCCCAGATTGGCAGTGCTTACCCTGACAGGGCTCAGGTTCATGGGTGGTCCCAGATTGGCAGGGCGTACCCCTTCAGGGCTCAGGGTCATGGTGGTCCCAGATTGGCAGTGCTTACCCCTACAGGGCTCAGGGTCATGGGTGGTCCCAGATTGGCAGTGTATACCCCGACAGGGCTCAGTGTCATGGGTGGTCCCAGATTGGCAGCACATATCCCAACAGAGCTCATGAGTTAACCACTGGAGCTGTGTGGCTCAGCGACTGGTCAACTAATGACCATGTGGGGCATAACCACCAATCAACCAATAGTGATGTGCTTCTCAACCACCAGTCAACCAATTGCATCTCAGCCAACAGTCAACCAATAGCGATGTGCGGCTCAGTGGTTGAGCCACACATCATCATTGGTTGACTGGTGGCTGGGCCACACAACGTCATTGGTTGACTGGTGGCCACCGGTCAACCAATAACTATGTCTGGCCGCTCAACCACCAGTCAACCAATGTCGATGGGTGGCTCAACCACTGAGGCAGTGTGGTCTGTAACTTGGGAGTTGAATTGGTGAATGTTTATAGAAGGATAAGAGGAAGGTGGAGGAGGATGAAGGAAGACTCCTAGGTGACTGAGATTTATTGGAGTCATGTGAGGGGAAAAGCCTTAAAGGAGAACTATGAGGTGAGTGCTTTTCACTCACCTCATAGTTCTAGCCGACCTGTGACAATGAGACTGTCACAGGTCGGCTCAGTAGATCGGGAGGTGAGCGAACACATACCGGCGTTCGCACCTTCTTCGGGACGCAGAAGCGATCTGGCGACAGGTAAGTCGCCAGGATCGCTTCTGTTGTAAAGCCGACAGTCGGCTCTACAAGTTTAAACAGACTCCCGGCGGCAAAAGTCGCCGTGAGTCTGTTTAAACAGCCCCGATGCTGGCGACGTACACTGTACGTCATCAGTCACGAAGGGGTTAAAACAAATCCAAATGATAATCTGACTTTACGTAATCTGTCCTTTCTATAAACTCTCTCGACATTTTATTCCCACCTGTATACTTTGGACCGTGCTGTAATATTTTCCATTCGGCTCTCGGTGTTGACCTAATTCTGTAACAAAACCGCCTGAGCTGCTTTTTCTCTACGAAGACAAAACATTATAAATGTCTATAAAATTTAAACCACGACTCCAGCCCAAGGTTTTGGATGGTGAAAACCTCCTTTTTTTGGGGGGGCTCCCTGTATCCCATTGGGGAAACATCCCTTAACGAGCTGTCAAGAAGACCCAACAGGAAGCAAGAGGTCATCTCTCTACATACTTCCATGGAGACCCCAACATGCTCGAAAGACAAAAGTCGTGCGACCGTACAGTAGAAACGGTCGCACACCTTCCATACACCTTCCGATTTATCGTACGATTGCCGGATTTCCCGCGATTATCGTACGATAATCGCAAGGTGTGTGGGCACCTTAGGTGTATTTTCTTTTAAGTTTGAGTGTAGTGTAATATAATACCACATTATGGCCACTAGATGGAGCTGAGGAGCACAGGAAATAAGTATTTTTCTGTAGGGTAATACTGCAATATGGCCACTAGATGGAGATGAGGAGCTATCTAGTGGCCATAATGGGGTATTCTATTATGTTACATTCGACCTAAAGAGCAAATATACTATGAACATTAACGGGGCTATTCACAATAGGGTGAAGAGTTTGGAGAAGGCAGGAGAAGTGAACAATCTAGGCCAAAATGGCTGATTTGGACAAATGTCTCCAATTCTGCTCACTTTCCAATTCAGCTCTATTGTCCTAGATCAGTGGTGGCGAACCTTGGCACTCCAGCTGTTTTGGAACTACAAGTCCCACGAGGCATTGCAAGGCTCTGACAGCCACAGACATGACTCCCAGAGGCAGATGCATGTTGGGATTTGTAGTTTTGGCAAAGCTGGAGTGCCAAGGTTCGCCATCACTGTCCTAGATTGTTCACTTCGCCTGCCTTCTCCAAACTCTTCACCCTTTTGTGATTAGCCCTGTAAATTTTGCCTCTATTCGCACAGAACGAACGTTCACAGAGACTCGAAGGGTGAATGGTTCTGCAACTGTTTATAAATAGACCCCCCAAGTGTCCCCATTTGGGGACAGATCAAATCCTGATCCGGTGACAACTGTAGAACTTTGAGCTTCCTCTTGAGAGCTGGTCAATTCAAAGGTCAACATTGCCTATAGTGAAGCTGAATCGCCATACTAGGCCCAGACAATAATAAAAACCTGATTTTTAGGTCTGCAGTCTGTGGCTGTGGTATCCTATAGCGTGCAATCAATTATTTACCAGATTTGAACTCCTCCTCTGGAACCATGTCTGTGGTCTTGTGTGCTGCAAACAAACCTCATATCTACGTCGGAAGGGACTTTCCTGTCGCTGACTAAATCTGGACACGCGTCCTTTGTTATTTTTACTATGCCTAGAACATGTGAAAGTCACATTACAAGCCTCTTTACTTCCTTCTGCGGCTGCTGCAGAGTAGCAGTTAATGGCAGGGCCACATGGACATTAAACACCGTAGTGTCCATTTTTTCTATTCTGCTAAATGGCTAAAAATCCATTGAGAAGGAAAGTTCTTTTGGCTTCCCACAAAATGACATCACGGTGCATCTCTTTCCATTATTCTATATCATTTATTTAAGGAAAATCATTTTTTCCAGTACTTAGACCCCCCTCCCCTTACAACACAGTGTGAGGTCTCTCCAATCGGCCCCCTAACCCCTCTATTATAGTTGGAGCCCTTTGTGCTTAGTTTGAAGGTTGAGTCATAAAAACTGGAACACTAAAAAAAAAAAAATAGTGGCACCGTCAACCAAGACGACCAATTGTACTTCTCGTTTCAGTCTCAGGCCCGCTATGGGTATATGAAGGGTATATGAAATATATAAACACCTCCGAATTTCCGAATCCCAATGTGTCCGAATTTCCCTTTCCGGATTTCGGATCCCGTCCTAATTTCGTTCGAAAACTAAACTGAATCGGACATGTGACTTTTCTGGCCAATCAGATGTGTTTTTCGGTTTAATGCATCCGCATGGGTCTGAACATGACTTTTCGTTACGGCAACATGGGAGCCATATACAGTATATACATATAATACTAAAGCCGAGGCTCCCAGACCCGAATGGCATTCAGGATCCGTATTTCCGAATTGCATTCAGGATAGGACAAATGCAATTCGGAAATTCGTATCCTGAATTCCATTCTGGTCTGGGAGTTTCAGCTTTAGTATCAATATCTGTAGATGGTTTTCTGTGGTATTCGCAATTAATATTCGTAAACGCATCTGAAACTAACGAACATTCGGATTTCGTCCAAATCTGAAACCCGTGGCGAATTGAATTTCGGATCTGGTTCATGAAATAACGAAATATGCAAACAGAATTTTTCTGCAGCTTACATGACTAAATTGTGGACATTGAAGATAAGGGTTTCACTTGTGATAACGTCTCTGTTGGTCTACTTTACATGAATTGTTTATTTTTAGTAGGGATTTTGCAATCATTATGGTTAATGATTACACGGTTGGCATACTGGACATTATTTTGAATGGAGTCTTTACTTCTACCGCCCACAGATGAATACAAAGCTGGCCTTTTGTGGGCCTGTTGTACCATAAACTCTAATTCTTAAGATCCTACTTGTGATTCGGTTCTTTATTGTATTTCCTTCAGTCCTAACCTCCTCTCTCTGTTTTCTAGGTAGCTGCTGAGACATGGTGGACCACCTGGCCTACACGGAGATCAACACTCAGCGAATAGGGGCTGTTGAGACATGTTTTGGTTCAGCTGGCCAACCCCTTGCCATCCCAGGAAGAGTCCTCGTGGGTGAAGGAATACTGACCAAGGAATGCCGGAAAAAACCCAAGCCGAGGATCTTCTTCCTCTTCAACGACATTCTGGTGTACGGAACCATTGTCATCAGCAAGGTCAAGTACAGCTGCCAGCACATCATCCCTCTAGAAGATGTGACCACCGACCTACTCCCCGACAGCGGAGAAATGAGGAACCGGTGGATGCTAAAGACATCTAAAAAGTCCTTCGTGCTCTGCGCCGCCTCTTTCACCGAAAGACAAGAGTGGATCAGCCACATCAAAGAGTGCGCCAGCCGGTTGATGGAGAAGACCGGGAGACGACCGTCCTTGAAGCACGCGGCTCCCTGGATTCCGGACAAGGCCACCGACATCTGTATGCGTTGTACTCAGACTAAGTTCACCGCCATAACTCGCAGGCACCACTGCCGCAATTGCGGCTTCGTCGTTTGCCAGGATTGCTCGAGAAACAAGTTTATCATACCAGCCTTGTCCTCCAAGCCTTTAAGAGTTTGTAATCTGTGCCACAGAAAACTGATGAGTGAAAAGTTGGCTGAAGAAGAAGAACTTAAGAGGCGGGAGCTTGAGTTGAACCAAGAGGTCACCGAGTCTGATCCTTCGAGCGAAGAAGACAGCGAGAATGATGACGATAAGACTGATGTCTTTCCTTCAAATGAGGACTTTTACTCTTCGTCGTGGTCGGCCTTTCATGCCTGATTGGGATTTATGATATTTATTAAAGACTTGTACCAATACTAGAACATCATACCACAAGGCCTAAGACTAGATAAGGAGCCTGTTACCCAACTTCCTTGAGAATGACATTGAGGTTTCAAGACCCAACAAGGACCTCTTCTTCAGTCGGTGACCTTAGACATCTATCTTCTTGGGTTTCTTCTTGGCTCCAGGCCGTGCTTTACGTATTTTTTATAGACCATAAATGAGCTTTAAAGCAAGCCATCACTAATCTCTATAGCTGCAGGCACTGTGTAAAAACCCATCCTCAAAGTATATGGTATAAGTACTTTTTAGTTTCATTTCAGCAGCTCTGTTCGTTCCACTACCCCATCCCAGCAGTGACTTTGCAGCCTGCCATCTCTTTATTCTCTAATGTAAAAACTAGGAATGCACCAGTACTGGGTTTTCGGTATCGGGTACGAGTACCCTTACTTTGCTTTCAGTACTCGCCGATACCGAGTACTGATAGCGGAGCTTTAGCTGGCATGGAGCCAGTTTCCGGCCAATCGGGAAGCCTGGATGCGGGACATTACTCGACGCCGAGCTTCCTGATCGCACTGGAAGCTGGCTCCATGTTCCTCTACGGCACTGCAGGTCAGAGGAAACCTTCCTCTGACCGGAAGTTCTGGTATCGGGGAAGGTATCAGAACATCTTGATACTGGTATCGGGGCATCCCTAATAAAAACACAGAGCATGGTACCACAGGAAGAGGGGAAAGCAACGTGATGGACCCCAACGTTACTGTCTCTCCTCCGAAGGCTGATGAGGAATTGCTCCACATTGTCGGCAGCTACAGAAGTCCGTGCTTGCTCTAAAGCTTCTATTAATGTTTGAATGATCATAGCATGGCCACAGTTCTACTTTCATCCAATCCTGACCATCGTGCAGAGCAATGATGCCAACCTATGTACCACTAACGGATACGAGAAATGTTCTCAGTGACTCTAAATAGTAAATCCGCCTGTTGAGCCCTAATGGAGGTGTTGGCAAACAGTTGTCTATGGTTAATCTAAAATGAGTTCAACCATCGCCCACTGTTGGCTCAATACTGGACTTCACATTAAAGAACATGTAATTAATAAGAACTTGATGATGATATATACTGTCATTAATAGATCAGAGTTCATGTGGGTCCCATGCTGGTCTTTGGGTTCCTCTTTGTCAATTGGGGTGGGACAGGTCCTCATCTCCAGCATCTCTTGACAGCCTATGGGCATGGAGATCTCCTCCTCATTAGAGTTCCGGACATCACTGATGATCTAGTGAGGGTTCCAATACTTCCGCAACGGCTTCCAAACCAGACAACTCCATGTTTGGTGGTGTTGCTCTGTCTTTGCAAAGCTTTACAAAACCACTCATGACACAAACCATGTGAGTCCTCCCTCTTCAAAACTGAAAGAAGGAACTGAATCCCTGGTGTTATCGGTTCTACAAGTAAGTTCCCTACTGAAGTCGCTCAAAAGGGATGAGTAAGCTCTTACCGGAATGCAAAGCTTACAAAAGAACATTAAAGTAGATCTAAATCCTCATGGCCACCTCTTGTCTACTGGACCAGCTTACTGGTGGACCATCCTCATGCAATGTGTGGTCTCCACCTGGGCAACACATGGCAGGGTAACAACGTAGGAACACAACTGAGATACAGTTGTCACTAGGGATGCACCAATACTGTTTTTTTCGGTATCAAGTACCAATATTTTTTCCGGTACTCGCCGATACCGAATACTGATACCGGAAGTCCCATTAAGCGTGTAATGACTCGCTACCTGGCTTGCTGATTAGCCGGGCGGCGTGTAAAGATTCACCACCCGGCTTCCGGATTAGCAGGGAAGCCGTCCCCGGTCTTCTCGTCACTAGGTGACGAGAAAGCATGGAGCCGGCTTTCTGGCCAATCGGGAAGCTGGGTGCTGTGTCATTACACGGCGCCCGGCTTCCTGATTGGCCAGCTTCCCGACCAAATAGGAAGCCGGGCAGAGTGTAATGACTCGCTGCCCGGCTTCCTGATACCGGAAGCATTGGGCTAGGCATGGGAGCATTTGGGTGAGTACGAGTACTAGCCCAAATACTCTGCATTGGCACCTATACTGGTATCGGTGCATCCCTAGATGTCACCCCAACAGGAAGTGCCTGAACAAGGACCTACATAGCAGGTACTCGGGGGATTATTTCAATGGAAGTTGCAGATTTACAAAAGACTGAAATGGGGGTGATGGGGTCTAGATCTACTTTAATTGGGACACCCTATTCGGTTTGCAAGCTGAATGTAACATGCCAAGTCAATGGTAGGCAACCTCAGCACTCAAGCTGCTGTGGGACTACAAGTCCTATATAGCATTGTAAGACTATGACACCCACCAGCATGATTCCTAGGGGCAGAGGCATGATGGAATTTGCAGCTTTACCACAGCTGGGGTGCTGATCTTGCTCACCCCTACACCAAGCTCTCATGTCTACAAGGCCAGAGGAGAAGCAATGCTCTTGTACAATAAGGTGGAGAGTGATGAACTCAAAGCAACCAATCCAAACTGACCTTTCACTCGACTGACTACAGTAAACTGAAGCTTGATTGGTTGCTCTGAGATGCAGGACTCACCCCTGCTCTTTGCTCTCCTTTACTAGAAACGTTGGCCAGTTGGAAGATTAGACAATGCTAATAATAACACCCAACCGGTTCTCTGCTGGGTTCATCTATTTGTAACCTTTCATTATACAATTTTGTTGCATTTTAACACTTGTCTGTATTATAATTTTATTTCTACATTATTTAAAAAGAAATACGCATATTGCCTCTGTATTTGGAATGAAAGGAACACACAATATGTTCTTCTGTTTTACAATTTCTTGTGTAACGTATATAATATACATTGTGCATACTGAGATATGTTTTAACACTAAGGATCTGTGCAATAAAATCCTCAATATTGTCCCGCGTGTCATAAAATATTGATATCGTACTGCGAGTTTATCTCTTCCATCCCCTAGAACCTTGGTTCTCAACTGGTGGGTCGCGACCCCGTGTTCAGTGGGTCTCATGTGGCTTCCACTGTGGTAGGTGAGAGAGTGCCGAGTGTCTACTAGAGGTGGGATGGGATGGGCTGGGGCTATGGCCATGAGGGAGCTCCATCCATACATACAACTCCCTTGCTTGAGCTGTAGAGGTGCCTGGACCGGAGTGATGTCATACATTCTGGCTCCCCGCACTTCTACAGGGCATGCAAGGGAGCTGTTCAAGCATTGCACATATGGATGGACCTTAATCATAGCACAGCAGCCCACATTAGACCCCAGGCTGAGGATCAACTCCAGCTCTCGTAAGGTATAGAGACTGGATGGATCTTTTGAAAGGCATCCCAAATGCACCTCCCACCTAATATTTCGATCGCCCGCACCGGAACACACAGTACCGCAATGCTGTGCGTTCCTTTGCAGTGCGACTTGGGTCGTGACTTAATGACCAAGGACAAATGTGGGTCCTGAGGTTACACAGGTTGGGAACCACTGTTCTAGAAGAAACAACATCTGTTTAAGGTAGATAGTAGACATGTGCAGATAAATGTTCTTGTGTTGCAGAGATGTTGCTGGTGTTATAATGTATCTGTGTCCATAGTCCTCTGTACAATGAAACAATGTTTCTTCTTATAGGAAGAATCTCTTCCTGTGAATGTATCTGAATTTATAACCTGTCACAGATCTCCAGGGAGGGGAGCCGCCAACACACCGACCTACATAGGAAAGAATGCTAATAAATCTGTTACCTGCGTTTATACAACAAGAAAATTAATTTATTATGAGATGAAACTGCCCCTCCCAAACCTGCCTGTCTGCTGCTTATCTCTCATGACCTCCGGCCTCCCCTTCAGTCTTGCACAGTTGTACCGGTGTTCTATCGAAAGCTCCAACTCGTCAAAATCTCCAACTGCCTCACTGCCAGGTACTTGCAAGTTGGAGATTTGGACCAGACGGTGTTAGACTGCAAAACACAAAGACTGGCGGAGCTTCTGTACAGCTGCATTTTAACAATATTCAGCAGGTGGCAAACTCGACAAATATTCTGAAAACGCTATGCGCGCACCGCAACTGTACAGAGCTCAAGTCTTTCTGAGCAACGGAAGTGCGGTAGTTGGAGATTTCGATTGAGTTGGAGCTTTTGATAGAACATCGGCTCCTCTCCTGGACTGAAATGGCTTCCTCTGATGTCACTGCACACTGGGAGCTTCTCACAATGTGCATTAGAAGCTGCAGCAAGTCAGAGCCGGCCTCATTTCCTGGCTGGAGGATGTCCAGCATCCTCTAGTTAGTCCTCCCCAGCCTGACTGTCCCTTGCCCCGCCCCTTTAATTTATTGGATTTCATTTCTTTCAATCTTGGAGGTAATTACCTATGGTGGTCTGCTTGCAAATGGAATGCCCACACCTCCAGACTAACACCCACTGATCAAGACATTTTGTTATTTGCATAACTCCTCCCAAGAGCCAGCCCACTGCTTGCATCAGAGCTGGGGGCTCTTGAGAGGAGTACTAAAGTCCCCTTGCTTCTCTATGCAATGCAGGCAGATCATGGCTGGTGGGAGGGGCTGGCAGGGTGCTGTACATAGCTTGCTGATAACATCACAGCACCC